AGGAAAAGATTGATAAGTTGGGCTATAGCCAATAAAGCAGTTCTACTCATCAGGAATAATGAGAGTGAAGAAAAAGTATTAAAGAAGTGATATGCAGATCTGAAGTTTCCAGGAATGGGCAACATCCCACACCCATCTGGCTCATTCCCTTCCATTACCCAGTGAGTGTCGTTACTGCCACTGAAGTGTTGTCAAAGCACGCAAGCTTAAGGGGGAGAACAAAGGAGTGGATGGGGGTATGGAAGGCAACCACATCCTAGGCTAAGGAACCAAGAGCTTCAGAGAATCGCCAGCAGTGGAGAGTCGACTCTTCTTGGAAATAACAATCTGTGAATTTTTCCCTGTATAGAAAAGTTATTTTAGGAAGGAGAAAAGAGATTTAGGGATCCACTGGCACATCCTACTGTTGCTTCATTCTATAACTGGAGGTATGGGTGGGGAAATAGACCTTGGAGGTCATTTTGGCAAAAGGCTTCTGGACTGCCTTCAAAACCTGAAGTTTCATTGTTTCAGCTTTCCCATTTAGATCTACATTCCACCTGGAATTTATTTTTCTTTTATTGTTGTTGAAAATATACATGGCAAAACATACACCAATCTGAAATTGATTTTTGTGTATGGTGTGAAGTAGAGGTCAAGTTTAGTTTGTCTTAATATGATGTCCAATTGACACAAACATTTACTGAGAAGACCATCCTTTCCTTTCTGTGTGGCAGTTTACATTTTTTGGGAAATTTTTATTTTTGAGAGCAAAAGTCCCACCAGTGTGGGTGTAGGTGAGGAGAAGAAGGCTGCCTTGAAGACTAGTGAGCCAATAGTGCTTCCTGACTCCTTGACAAAAGAGGCTCATCCACAGTGGGCACTGTTGTTGTTGTTAAGCACCATGGAGTTGATTCCAACTTATAGCAACCCTGTACAGGGTTTCCAAGAAGCAACTGGTGGGTTTGAACCACTCACCTTGTAGTTAGCAGTCCAGTGCTTGTCCTACAGTGCCACAACAGCTGCCAATTGAAATTTCAATTGCCCAACTCCAGGATGCCATGCAGAAAACAGTGCCAGAGTTCTGCTGGGAAACTTATGAGAGGAAAGCAGAGAGTTTCCTGGAGATGCTATCTCTCTGAAGGGTGAGAAGCCAAGAGTCTGATTCCCATCATTATTCCCCTGCTATGGTCCCATGGGAAAAACCCCTTGGGGTGAGCTGACACCAAGAGGGGTTTCTTTGCCACAGAGAGATCTTGGCACATCAGCCAGAAATAGCCTGAGCAGAGGTCCCAGGAGAGGTGGGGCCTGCAGATAAAAGAAACCCACTGGAAACTTCCTCTTTCACAGAATGACTTCCAGAGACCATTTCCAGAAAATGTGTGCCCCCCACACATCCCCTCACCTTTATTTCTTCAGTGTATATCTGTCTGACTTTCAACTGCTAGCACTCACATCTCTTTACCTGAGAACTTCCTCTAGCCACCACAGTGCACCCTGGAAGTGCCAGCAAGTCAGTGCTCCTCTTCCATTCTTCCCAGAAGCCCTCATCCATGGACTTCCGGAAGCTGGTATATACATAATCCAGCTCCCTCCCTTACCTCTCAGGTGGGAAGTCTCCGAGGCACATGTTTTATACTGTCATTCAGAGTTCCCCAGTGGGATTAAATTCTAGAGAATCCACAGTAGTAACTTGTTCAACAATGCAGTTTTCCCATTCCCATCTCAATTCCCTGTTCCCTTCTAGGGTCACCTCCCAAATAGCCTACCTGAACTCACCAATTCCGAACCTTGGTCCAGGGTCAGTATTATTCATTGAGGTCTGTTACTTTCCCATGAATTCAATATGAGATGAAAGGGTCAACAACTACTCTAAAGCAAAGATGAGAAGAAAAAGGGCAGGGGAAACTAGAGTACTGGAAATGGAACAACCAGCACACAAATAATGAGAATGTTGACACGTTGTATAAAATGTAACTGTCATTGAACAATTTGAATAGAAATTGTCACTGGAGACCTAACGTGCTGTGTAAATTTTCATCAAAACACAATAGAATCTAATTTACAATATATTCATATATACGTGTGTGTGTTGTTAAGTGCTGTCGAGTCGGCTCCAACTCTTAGCAATTCTGTACAGAGTTTCCAAGGCTTTAAATTTTTGCAGAAGCAGAAAGCCTCATCTTTCTCTTGTGGAGCAAACTGGAGGGCTCAAGCCACGGACCTTGTGGTTTGCAGTCCAGTTCATATCGTATGGAGCTCCTGTGCTCCAACATTACTTACATATATATAGTCCTGGTGTGGTGCTATAGGATAAGCACTGGACTGTAGACCATAAGGTTGGCAGTTCAAACCCACAAGCCACTCCTTGGAAACCCTATACAGGGTTGCTATGAGTAGGAACCAAGTCGACATCACTTAATAACATATATACCACATGGTAGTGGTGGTTATGTGTCATCAAGGCAGTTCCAACCTATAGCGAGCGACTCTATATAGAGTTTCTGAAGCTGCAAATCTTTACAGGAGCAGAAACTCATCATTCTCCCATAGAGCAGAGCAGCTGGTGGATTTGAACTGATGATCTTACGGTTAGCAGTCCAACGTATAACCCACTACACCACCAGAGTATGTATATATATAGTTAAGTGCCATTGAGTTGGTTCTGACTCATAGTAACCTTAATGGCAACCCTGTATAGGGTTTCTGAGGAGCAGCTGATGAGTTTGATCCCCTGACCTTACTGTTCAAACTGAC